TACTCAAATGAAAGCTCTTGATAAGTGTAACATCAGGATGAGCTTATATCTTTAAAAATGTCAATATTTAAGAAAGTGCAGTGCAATTTAACAAAAGTCATTATTTAATAAAGCAAAAATTTATTTTTATTAAAAATAATTTAAAGTTTTCTTTAAATATAAATTTTATCACCAACAATTCACCGACATAAAAAAAAAAAAAAAAAAAAATAGGGAGTACAATATCCATGGAAACGCAAGAGAAAATTCAATATCTATAACTTTAATAATTTCCACCCCAACAATTTTATCCCAACTAAAAAAAAAAAAAACACCATAAAATAAAATCTCTCGCACTACCTACCCTAATAGATTAAAAATACCCTCAGCAAAGTTAATTATTAATTAATTAATAAACTTAAACATACTGGGGCGATGTGTACGCCCGGGCGGCAAAAATGGCACTGAAAGATACTTTTTAACTAAACAGTACGTGTGTACTCTGGTATGACAGTAACCCTCCGAGACGGTGAATTACTCGATACGATATAGAGCAACTAAACCAGAGAGAGCGAGCACGCGAGCATTTGAAAACCGGAGGGGGAAATTAAAACAGAGAGGTCAGTCGGAATGCACTTAGCTCGTGAATGATCAAGCGAGACAGCTTCACGAGGGTTGATTTCTAGTACCAGACGCCGGAGGTAGGGGCGCTGTCCAAGCTCGGAGAAAGAGCTACAGGTTTTTTTACTGGGGTGAGTTCCACTGCCCTTTTTTCGAGACATTGTCTGCGTCGAGATGAATGCTTTATTGGATAAAAGAATTTTTTTTTAATTAACTTAAGAATTTGCTGTTTTTTGACGATGTTTACATTCGGTATTTTTTATTTTTTATTCCAGCGGCTATCTCGCTAACTTATCAATTATGATAAGACCGACTTCCTATTTAATTTTTTAACAAGCGTATCGTGATATATTTATCATTATTTTGTTTCGAAACTCCGTCGGAGACGATAAAAAATTTTTACAATGATGGCCGTAAGTTTTTTACCTAAATATTGTTTATTTTTGCTATTTTTTATACACTAATAGAAGAATTTTTTTATATTTAATAAATATTCATTGACAGTTAATAAGTAATTTATTATAAGTATTTAGGCTACATTTAAAAATTCTCTATCTCTAGATTCATAATTAAGAATAAATGACCTTGTATTTTGTGAGCTATTGACATTTTTAGAGATATAAGCTCATCTTGATGTTACACTCATCGAGACCTTTTATTTGAGTACCCACATGCATTTTTGATATATTTTTCATATATAAATATATGAAAAATATATCAAAAATGCATGTGGGTACTCAAATGAAAGCTCTTGATGAGTGTAACATTAAAATGAGCTTATATCTTTAAAAATGTCAATAATTCAGAAAATACAGTGCTATTTAACAAAATTTATTATTTACTAAAGCAAAATTAATTAAATTATTAATAATAAATCCTCCTATCAGTCTATATTTTTTTTGCTAGATGTTTTTTCACTTTGGCGTCAAAGAAAGCGCGATATTATTTTCCGGGTGGAAAACTAACGATTGGCAGGGTGTCTTAGGATCGTGTATAGGTATTTTTATCCTCGGAGTAATTTACGAAGGGCTCAAAAGTTACAGGTAATTTATTTTTCTTACAATATTATTTATTACTGAAATAAAAATATAAATATATTCTTCTAGAGAGTCAGTGTTTTTAAAATTGTCATATTTTTACCGGAACCAAAAATCCCGAAGGTAAAAAAATATTTTAATAATAAAACAAATAAATAAAAAGAAAAATTTTTTTTTAGAAAAATAATCTTGTCTCCCGTTCACGTCTTCCAAACAATACTTCACATCCTTCAATTTACTCTCGGGTACTTTTTGATGTTCATCTTCATGACCTACAATGTGTGGTTCGCGATCGCGGTACTTTTAGGCGTTGGTGTCGGCTTCTGGATATTTTCTTGGGACAAATATTCTCCCGACTCACAATGCTGCTTCTAAAACTAAAATAATTTTTAAATAAAATAATAAAGATAACAAAATAATTAAAATTTCTTAATTAAACACTCGTAAATTCTTTATCAATTGACATCATTAACGATTAATGAACCTGATAATAAAATAATCTTTTTTTTTTTATCGTAAATTTCTTCCGTAGATAATCAGTCTTCTTTAGAAAGTCGTCAGAAGCAGAAAAAATAATTTATATTCCAAAAAAAAAAAAAAATGGAAAATCCTAGCACTGAAAATATTTGCTGTCAAAGTGTCTTCAGTGATATAAACAACATAAACAACAACAATATTTCTCTAAAAGATATTATTTTCGGCTGGGATACATTTAACGCTCGAGTATTTATTTTTTTTATTATTTCCTTTGTAATTTGGTCTGTAGTTTTTTTCCTACTGTATAATCCCGAAATAATCGATCACGGACACGGAATGATGGATCACGAAGTTCATTTAATGTCAGGTAAATTGTTTTATTAAAAAAAAAAAAAAATAAATAAACCCGCCCGGGATTCGAACCCGGAACCTCAGAAGTTGCTCAAAAATTGTAACGCCGATATCTCGGGTTCTAATTGACCGATTTAGCCCGTCAAAAGATATTTTTAATTGTTAGAACATCCTCTAGGGCGAGAGTATGTTCACTAGTGGATATTGCGCCGGTCAAAAAACACCCAATTGTTCTAATACTCACGTATCTCTTCAGGACACTAAGGAAATTAAACAGCACGGAGCAGACGATCGATTCGCAAGCATCCGGACGTACTTTAACTAACAAAATGGACACGAAGCTATTAATTGACACACGTGATCGTTAATCAGTGTCACCGCCAGGAAGTTGACCTTATTTCGGGGGAATAAATCAGCGCTAAAGGATTTGGTGGACATTAAATGTTAAAAATGTACAAAATTAAAAAAGAAATTAATTATAGTTGTAAATTCATTAAGTTTTTTATTAATTTATAGTATATTTGAATTGTAAATTTGCTTAATTTAATGTTTAAAAATTTATTAATTTCCCTCACTTTTTTACTTACCAATATATTTTTTTTTGGGATATTTTGTTGGAGGATCAAGACGCCTGATACCATTTTATCATTAAAATCAACTTCATCTCTAGAAAGCTATGCAGGACTCTACAATCTACAATTTAAGAAAAAGGTATAAAAAAAAGTTGTGTGCATTGAAAATTTCCATTTATTGACAACGCAATTAACAATTACACTTTGACTAAAACTTCGAACTGATCATACAGTATAGATTATTTTTACCATGACACTTATTGTACAAGGGCGACATAAGGTATCCAAATTCATAAAATTCGTTATTTTTAACGCGACACAAAAGTTGAGGTTGACCATTATAGCTCGTTCCACCATAAATAGCGGTATCAAAAGTGAAGTTCGACCCCCTCCACTCGACAGGACCCTTGAGTATCTAAAAGTAAAACAAATTTACTTACTACCAGATCAGAAATGGACCAGTTAAGCTGATCGTTAACATACCCAATTCTCAGAATGTATTTTTCAGTTTAGATAATATGGTGTATCGTCAGCAGATAACTTTCCAACAAGGACACTGTTTTCTATTTTCGCTCCACTCTCACCTACTGGTACCCAATAATAGGACTTAACTGCCAGAAAAAGATCATTAAAATATCAATAACTAATGAATCACTGAAGCAACCTACCTCCCGGTTTTTTTGACAATCGTTTTCGTTGTTGTTTTTGATCCTCCTCCGAGTTCTCAGCGTTTTGGCAAGTACTATCCTTGCAGTAGTAGGATGTCATGAAACAATTCTTATGTTCATGACATTGAGCGTTAGGAAGACCATAGCAAACTCCGTCATGCGGAGTATAATTGTCTTTACAAAAGAGCAGATTTTGTTAGAGCAACTGGCAAACAGCGTCTTACACTCATTTTCATTTTTTCAACCTTCTCCAAGATTCTCTGCTTTAACGAGACATTCTTTTTCGTGTTTGTAGTAGTCAGTCTTGCACTCACAAACAGATTTTTCCGTATTACAAGTTGAATTATTGATATTAAGACATCCGTTATTGTTATTGTAGCATTGATCACCTATCGACTGTGCCTTCAGAAGGCATGATTTATTGTTCTCATAATGGGTGTCTTTGGATTGGCATTCATCAGGGGCACATTTCATAATGTTTGGATCAGGGCATCCATCATCGTTCTTGCAGCTTTCTCCAAGATTCTTTGCTTTAGCGAGACATTTTTTTTCGTGTTTGCAGTATAGCCAGTCTTGCACTTACATGTTTTACTTGGACATCCTGCGTTTTCAATTTTCGTGCAGCCTGCATCATTCTTACACTCTTCTCCCAAATCTGCCATCAACCAACCAATCAGTATTTCATCCCTTCTTTTTATTATCTAAGATTATCTTACTTTTTGCTTTTTTGTGGGATTTGCCTTCTGCCAGGCGGTAGTAGCTTTTCTCTTTGGACTGGCAAGTGTTGGACGTCTTATTGCACTTGCTTCCAGTAATCCTGCGACATCCAATACTGCGGTCTTCGCATGTGTCCGTCAAATCTAAAAAATTCTTCATAATTCTCATGATCCTAATCAGTGACTCTTGTCTACTTACTATTTGTGAACTTGACACATCCCTCCTTCCACCGGTAATGGTTGGGCTTGCATTGGCACCTGTACTATGTGTAACCTACCTCCTTTGAAGAGTACAACATCATGTTGTTAACTAGTTAACTAGTTAACTCGCACGCATCGTTTTTGCAGCTTTCACCAATTCCTCCAAGGACCAATCAAGTCAATCATCCATTATAATCACTTCAAGTTCATCTCTTATCTGGGTACTTACTTTTTATATTGGTTTCACAGAAGGTATTGTCCTCTGAAGGATGCATTCGATCATTACACGTGCATACTTTATCGCATTTGGTGTTAGAAGTCGGGCAATCATCGGTGTTCTCCTATCAGTGGAGAGCACCCATTTTTGAGCTCAATGAAATTAAGCGGACACACTCGTCGGTTGATCCGCCAGCAATATTACCCAGTAGGATGATCAGGGGATAGACATACAAAAATCATATCATTTTTGAGTAGTCAGAATCTTTAAATTAGAGGACACACGTATTTACTTTCCTAGTTCTTGATGCTAAATAAGCCACGTCAAACTTTTTGAAACGCAGGCTCTGGATATCTTCTAGCGATAAAAGCTTAGTTTTATTACTTCTGACAGTGAGTCAGACGAGATAGTCTTTTTACTGTGCATATGACAGCGAAGTTTGCTTGACCGTTATTGGTATTATGCGGTTTAAAAATCATTGTAAAAATTTTTATTTTAATTATTCACTGGTTGGACAAATTTATTAATGGTGGAAGATTATTTTGATTAATAATCGATTAATATCTCGGAAAATATCCCTCCCACTAAAAAAAATTTCCAATGACTATTTTTTGTAGCCCAGAAAATTTCCTACTGCCTTATTCTAAATTAACTTCTCCATTATCATCGCAATAATAACCGATTTATCCAATATTATTAAAAATTGTTAAAATAATAACTTAAATTTTAATGTATTTCCTAAAGAATTTTCTTTCAGAAATAAAAATCCAATTTCTGTTTGGATAAAAATATAATATATATCAGTGACTATAAAAAAATAAGCATATTCCAATGAGTCAGTTGAAAATTTAACGATTTTTCATAATGTTTAAAGTTATATCGCCAGAATAATCAAGCTTATATCTATGTGAATAAAAATTTGATTATTACTTTTAAAAATAACCTGTAAAAAAATGACTAACGCAAACAAATAATTCTTAGGTTAGACATTAATTACCCTAACCATTAATTAATAATGAAATTAATAAGGCTGCAAGGATGCTGTTGTTTGGATTTAAGGTCCGGAACTTTGTGCATCGGGATTGTTTTTCTGGTAATTATTATTTATTAAATATATTAATAAATAATCTCTACTAATTAAGCTAAAATAATTTAGATCGGCCAAATGATATCCGTTGTCCAAAGCGTGGTGCGGAACAACAAGCTGACTTGCGTCGGAGTTCCAGACCCTTTAGCGTGCCAGCGGTCGTCAACAATGGAAGTTGTCTTTACCTTAGTCGGTAACCTAATGTTCTTTGTCGTTACTGCGATAATGCTTGTTGGATCCACGCGGGTAATTTCCAACTAACTAAACATTAATCATTTAATTAATTAATTATTTATTGTTCCTTTTTCTTTCAGGATAATCACAAATTAATGGTACCGTATTTAGTTCTCAGAGGAACAGGAATTATTCTGCTCTTTGCCACGCTTTGGTACATCGGAGTCAAGTACTTGCTGACGCTAGTCGGTTGGGGCCTCACTATCTTAATTTTTGGGAACGCTTTCATCTGTAAGTATCCTTTAATTAATTTATTTAACAAAATTTTAGTTAATTAAAATATTTTCTGCAGGTCTGGAGATTTATTTGTGGCTGGTGGTCAACAGTCGGAAGCTTGAGATCCAATATGACGACTATTAGAATACAAGTTCAATAAATAGTCAAAACTAACCTTAAATATTGCTATTATCTTATTTACGCCGTGATAACTCGGTTAATTTTAGAATTTTCTCAATTATTTTAACCAAATCTTGTAGGAAATTTAATTGGCTACAAAAAAGGTCTTGAAAAATTTTTTATAGGAACTATATAGTTTCTGAAATATTAATCCATTAATCAAAAAATTCCTTTTTTTAGCTAAAAATCACAATTTTTGGTGATTAATCGGCTGTTAATCAATTAATATTAATTATTATTGATAAATTATTACTTAATCTTATAGGAAATTTACTGAGCTACAAAAAAGATCCTTACAAGTTTTTTTCTAGGACCTATAGTTAGTGAAATATCAACCGATTAATCATAAATATTAGAGTTTTGTTCAAAACCCCGTTTTTCAGTGATTAACGGGCTGTAACTCGGTTATTAATATCAACGGGATTGAAAAAATTAAAGAGATCTTTTTCGTAGGAAATTTTTTGATCCTACAAAAAATATCTCTTCATTTTTTTTCTAAAATCAATAGATTCCAAGATATCGATCGATTAATCAACAAATATTTATTTATTTTTAAATTCTTATAAGCGTCTTAGGGATACAAAGGACTATTTTCTTTAGGATAGGCGGGCAGCTGGTCGCTCTTGAGGTCCTTGTACCGACTGTAGATAACCATGAAGAAGTAAAACATCAAAGCTGGAATAAAAATAGCGTTAATTATTATTTTAATGACTTATTAATACAATATTAATTGTACTAATAACCCCAGACAGCATGGCCGACGATCAGCAAAGTTACTCCGACGTCAGTTACGTCATTTTTGAACGCTACCATCGATCCGGCCCAAATTATACCCAAGTACAAGATCAGGCCAATTAGGGACGTAATTATTGATGGAAGGATAAAACTTGGTTTATCCTGCAAAAATATTAATCAAAATTACTATCTGGAATTTTTTTTTTTCACCAAAGATATCACTGAGTGTAATCTGGGATTATATCCAGTGTCATCTTGTTCCTTTTGTGTATAAAAAAGATCTTTATGAATTTTTCCGTATCAAAAAAAAGGAAAAATCAACCTTTTGTGATCCATAGATCATCATAATTGTGAACAAAATGTTAAGCACATTCCAAATAGTGATCCCTGCAGTTTCTCCACCACTAAAATCCGAGCAGTTCTTCATATAAAATCTGTTGCAAGCTACATCATTGCCGCTAAATGGCGCCGTAAGAGTCATGATTCTTCCAATCTGAGACCAGAAAATGACTCTAGTCACTAATTAATCCCTAATATAAACAAAATTAAATATTACCAGCGCAAAAATTCCGATAACGACAACTCCAGTCTTGAGTTCGAAGCAGCAACAGCAGCCATTTAATTTCCATCCCATAATTTTAATAAATTTTAAAAATTAACGTTACAAAACACTTCTTATTAAGAACAATGGATTGAATTTTTTGGAGCAAGTAAATAGACTAAACTTTTTAAGTGTTGAAGTTTAATTATAGGCATTTAAACGCCTTCCCTACGGCAAATTATACACTTTATTTAATAGTTCCGATAACACAAATTCCTGTTAATGATTCATAAGTTTTTCTAGAAGTCTAAAATTGTTTTTAAATCGGTGGCGTTGATAATTATAAATATTATTAGGCTTTTTAATCTAAATTCGACCATTTTTGTTGATTAACGGTTAATAACTCAGTTAATTATGATTAATTATGAAAAATTATTAGAGTATCTTAAAGGAAATTTCCTAAGCTACAAAAAAGGTCTTTAAAATTTTTTTCCTAGGAGCGATAGTTTCCGAGATATCAATCGATTAATCAACATACATAGAATTTTGGGTCAAAACCCATTTTTTGGTGATTAATGGTCTGTAACTCGGTAAATATCAACAAAATTGAGAAAACATAAGAGACCTTTTTTGTAGGAAATATTTTGAGCTACAAAAAATGTTAATCAAATTTTTTCTAACACCAACCAATTCCGAGATATCGGTCGATTAATCAACACAATCGTTAAAAAAGTAATCTTTTAATTTTTCAATGGAAATACAATATGACTTTTTAATATATATTAATACAAAATATTTATCAGAGATTAACAATTAATTTCGTAAAGCTTCACAGATTTATTGTAGCTCGGTAGATTAACACTTTTAATCTCTTCTTTCCTGTTGTAAAGTACAACCCAAAAGTAAGCCAGAATATCTGAAATTAAAATTCGTCATATTAAACATCCACTTATAGGTTAATTAGGGGTGTGCGAATATCGTTCGAATCGAATCGAATCGAATATTGATATTCGAACCGAATAATTCGAATTTTCGAATTAATCAACATTCGACGAATAATTCAAAAGAATTCGAATAATTCGAAACTTTTCGAATTATTCGTAATTATTCGAATAATTCGAATTTTTTCGAATTAATTGAATTTTTTCGAATAATTCGAAAATTCAAATTATTCGATTCGGAACGAATAATTTGTAAGTTCAAATTATTCGCACACCCCTAATTTTAAACCCTAATCTAGTTAAGTCTTGATAAGTCTTGAGAGCAATAGCCACGCGGACATGTAAAAATGAAAACTCTAAATTTTTTCCAAGTTACTAATCTAATCAACTGTTTGGCCTAGAATCCTTGTAGAGAATGTGAAAACGAGTCAATTGATGCATAATAATGATTAAAAATGAACTTATCGAAAATTTTAAACCTTACTCTAGTTAACTTTTGATAACTTTTAATAACTTTTAATAACAATACCCACGCGGACATGTAAAAATGAAGACTCTAAATTTTTTATAAGTTACTAATCTAATCAACTGTTTGACCTAGAATCCTTGTAGAGAATGTGAAAACAATTCAATTGGTACATAACAATGATTAATAATGAACTTATTGACAATTTCAAATACGGGTGTGCGAATATCGTTCCAATCGAGTATTGATATTCGATTTGAAATTCGAATCGAATAATTCAAGTTTTTGAATTAATCGAAATTCGACGAATAATTCGAAAAAATTCGAATAATTCGAAAAATTACGAATAATTCGAAAAAATTCGAATAATTCGAAAAATTACGAATAATTCGAAAAAATTCGAATAATTCGAAAAATTACGAATAATTCGAAAAAATTCGAATAATTCGAAAAATTACGAATAATTCGAAAAAATTCGAATAATTCGAAAAATTACGAATAATTCGAAAAAATTCGAATAATTCGAAAAATTACGAATAATTCGAAAAAATTCGAATAATTCGAAAAATTACGAATAATTCGAAAAAATTCGAATAATTCGAAAAGTTTCGAATTATTCGAATTCTTTTGAATTATTCGTCGAATGTTGATTAATTCGAAAATTCGAATTATTCGGTTCGAATTTCGAATCGAATATCAATATTCGATTCGATTCGATTCAAACGATATTCGCACACCCCTACTTATATCTTTAAAAATGTCAATATTTAAATAAGTACAGTGCAATTTAACAAAAGTCATTATTTAATAAAGTAAAATTTTAATTATTTATAGTTTACAAGTCACATAGTGCAAGGTTGCTAGTAATAACTATTTATTTTTTATTTGGATAAATTTATTTATTAATTATAACTAGGACAGATATTTTATTTGTTAATATTGATAATTTTCAATTTCTTATTAAATAGTTGCATTAATTTTTTTTATGACTATTCATTTTGTATTGTGTTTAATTGACATTGATTCAATTTTCATCATCACGGATATTAAAAAAATTTATTTATGTGTCCAGTACCCGATTGCCAGCATTACAGTATTCTACTTCTAATTTTATTAGAAACTCAATTTAAATTTATAAAATAATTCATTTTTATTGATTATTGATTTTGTTCAATATTAAAAAAAAACATTTTTTTAAAGTACAAATGTATAAAAAAATTTTTTTCGGCAAGATTTGAACTGGTAAATGGGTACTTCAATATACTATTTTTGTAAACAATTAAAAATTAACTAATCAGTCTATTAAGATCTAAATATCGACTCCCAGTTTTATTTTTTTTTATTACTCAGAAAAATAAAGCTTTAATGATCAAGCTAATATTATAAATTCAAAAAATATAAACAATTTTGGATTAATCTCGTCTAAAAAACAAAATAAAACCGGTTGCCTTAAAATACACTGGTATCAAATTATAATAAAACACCGCCATGGTTTTTATACTCTCACAAGAATTATTAATTAAAGTTGCTCAAAAAAAAAAAAAAAAAAAAAAAACACAGAAAAAGTAAATATAAATGCCTTAAAGGCTGTATCACGCGCTAAAGTACAATTTGCACTAAAAATGTACAATTAATAACTTCTAAATGATTAACAGTAACAACAATTAATAAAGAATGAATAAAAATAAGATACTATTTGTGATAAAACATTATTAATAAATCTAGCAGTCAAGTTTCGAATGATGAGAGCCCGGTAGCCTAACAGCTTTGACAGCAGCTTCAAGCCCAGTAACAGCGGCTAGCACACGGAAGAGACTCTCCATCAACCTATCAAAAATGTCCGTCATCTCAGAGTCGGTCTTAGTGACAACAAACAAATCGGAGCGCTCTTGACCCAAGTGTCTGCAGTACATATTAACCGCGGTAGTGACATCATCGTCGTCATGGAACGGATCGGAGGGCCACTGAGCCCGGTGTATCCTCACAGCCTCGAGCGCCGACGACCAGCGTGCGGACCTCAGAAATTCAGCGACCCTGGACATGTCTTCCGAGCCACTGGGCAGCGGACTGGGACTCGGCGTCGGAGTTGGTGTTCCACGCTCGCTCTCAGTGCTTTCTTCTAAAGCTCGGCACAGCGCCGTCTTCATCATGGATATCTCCACAGACATGTCGTGCAACTGGACCGTGACATTCTTCGAAGCTTTAGTTAAAGACAATAACATTTTATTGGACGCTTCAATCATCAGCAGCAGCTGGAAGTGTAATTTATAAAACGCGCGTCCTAAAACTAGGTGCATTTCTTCAGAACTCTGGTCTTGTCCAGCAGAAGAGTCTCCTCCGAGTACTTGTAATTTGTTAGTGGCTTTTACGGCTTCTAGGCACTCAGTCGCGTGGTCTTTTTTGTCCAAGAAGGTCTCCAGGTGCTCTTGGATCTCAAACATGCTGAATCTCAAAGTCTCACTGAGCCGCTGGCTCCCAAACACTGTTAAAGAAAACCAAATCAACGGAGGCTCTGCCTTGGAGCTTAATAATTCTGCATGACTAGACAACTGAGATGCTAATTGAGACGCCGCAGTGCTGCCGTTTGTTAACAAAGCTACGGCTTCTCGGGAGAGTCCGACTGATTTGCTGGACACGTCGCGGAGAATCCGGCTGAGCAGGTGGAAAAATTCCAAAATATTGTACGGCGGCTGGGATATCAAATTTTGGATCTGTTGGCGCCAGATTTCTTCCGCGTCGTCACGCACTACTTGACGGAACGGCATTAAGGCGGAGAGGTTCGGGGATGCGTTGCAAGGTGTCACGTCTCCTAGGTCGCCAGCGCTGGATCCGGAGGTGTCCGATCGTGTTGATGAGTCGTGCCGAGAGCGACTTGGGATCAGGGAAAGTGACGATGGAGGAAACATTCCTGGGATGTTGTTTATTTCCTGGCCAGTGCCGGAACCTGAGGGGACTTCGTCTAATGGTGATTCGGAGCCCACTTCGTCGTCTGATGACTCTTCAGCAACTCCACGCTAGTAAAATAAATTATGGTGGATTTAGAAATACAAATACATGAGAAAAAAAATTTATTTTTTAAAAAATAATTGATGTTGTAATAAAAAAATTAATTTTTTTTTTCTAAATCTAGAAAACTTTTCAGCAAGAAAGTTACTGAGAGAAAAATTTTTAAATTAATTTTTTTTTTTTTTTTTTTTTTTTTTTTTTTGGCTGTTGTTATCAAGAGTTAACTAGACTAGGGTTTGAAATTTTCGATAAGTTCATTTTTAATCCTTATTATGCATCAATCGAATCGTTTTCGCATTCTCTACAATGATTCTAGGCCAAACAGTTGATTAGATTAGTAATTTGGAAAAAATTTAGTCTTCATTTTTACATTTCCGCGTGGCTGTTGTTATCAAGAGTTAACTAGACTAGGGTTTGAAATTTTCGATAAGTTCATTTTTAATGATTATTATGCATCAATCGAATCGTTTTCACATTCTCTAGAAGGATTCTAGGCCAAACAGTTGATTAAATTATTAATTTGGAAGAAATTTAGAGTTTTCATTTTTACATGTCCGCGTGGGTTTTGTTATTAAAAGTTATCAAAAGTTAACTAGTGTAAGGTTTAAAATTTTCGATCGGTTCATTTCTACTCATTGTTATATACCAATCGAATCGATTTTACGTCCTCTACAAGCATCCTAAGCCAAATAAATGATTAGCTTACTAACTTGGAAATATTTAGAATTTTCATTTTTACATGTCTGCGTGGGTATTGTTATTAAAAGTTAACTAGAGTAAGGTTTTAAATTTTCGATCGGTTCATTTCTAATCCTTGTTATATACCAATCGAATCGATTTTACGTCCTCTACAAGCATCCTAAGCCAAATAAATGATTAGCTTACTAACTTGGAAATATTTAGAATTTTCATTTTTACATGTCTGCGTGGGTATTGTAATTAAAAGTTATCGAAAGTTAACTAGAGTAAGGTTTAAATTTTCGATCGGTTCATTTCTAATCCTTGTTATATACCAATCGAATCGATTTTACGTCCTCTACAAGCATCCTAAGCCAAATAAATGATTAGCTTACTAACTTGGAAATATTTAGAATTTTCATTTTTACATGTCTGCGTGGGTATTGTAATTAAAAGTTATCAAAAGTTTACTAGAGTAAGGTTTAAAATTTTCGGTCAGTTCATTTCTAATCATTGTTATCTACCAATCGAATCGATTTTACATCCGCTACAAGCATCCTAAGCTAAACAAATGATTAGCTTACTAACTTTGAAAAAATTTAGAATTTTCATTTTTACATGTCTGCGTGGGTATTGTTATTAAAAGTTATCAAGAGTTAACTAGAGTAAGGTTTAAAATTTTTGATCGGTTCATTTCTAAATTTTTTCCAAGTTAGTAAGCTGATCGTTTGTTTGGTTTAGGATGCTTGTAGAGATTGTAAAATCGATTCGATTGGTATATAATAATGATTAGAAATGAACTGATCGAAGATTTTAAACCTTACTCTAGTTAACTTTTGATATCTTTTGATAACAATAGCCACGCGGACCTGTAAAAATGAAAACTCTAAATTTTTTATAAGTTACTAATCTAATCAACTGTTTGGCTTAGAATCCTTGTAGAGAATGTGAAAGCGATTCGATTGATGCATAATAATGATTAGAAATGAACTTATCGAAAATTTTAAACCTTAGTCTAGTTAACTTTTGATAACTTTTGATAACAATAGTCACGCGGACATGTAAAAATGAAGACTCTTAATTTTTTCCAAGTTACTAATCTAATTAACTGTTTGGCCTAGAATCCTTGTAGAGAGTGTGAAAACGATTCGATTGATGCATAATAATGTTTAAAAATGAACTTATCGAAAATTTTAAACCTTAGTCTAGTTAACTTTTGATAACTTTTGATAACAATAGCCACGCGGACCTGTAAAAATGAAAACTCTAAATTTTTTATAAGTTACTAATCTAATCAACTGTTTGGCCTATAATCCTTGTAGAGAATGTGAAAACGATTCAATTTATTGGTACATAAGAATGATTAATAATGAACTTATCGACAATTTCAATTACGGGTGTGCGAATATCGTTCCAATCGAGTATTGATATTCGATTTGAAATTCGAATCGAATAATTCGAATTTTTGAATTAATCGAAATTCGACGAATAACTTGAAAGAATTCGAATAATTCGAATTTTTTCGAATTATTCGTCGAATTTCGAATAATTTGAAAATTCAAATTATTCGATTCGAATTTTGAATCGAATATTACTATTCGATTCAAAACGAATAATTCGTAAGTTCGAATTATTCGCACCCCCCTAAGATTAATGAAAATAATATACTAACTTATGAGTATCATTCCAATAGTTAGAAAGAAAAATCCGCCGGAAACGTCGTTGATTAACAATCGGACGGTCCAAAATACGAATGCCAAGGTTTCGACGATTAATCTTATCAGCTCGAAGACTAAAAATGGCATCATTAACTTGTGGTCCTCCTATAATTAATTAATTACAGTATTACTTAATTTAAACTCGAGATTTTGATGATTAATGGCTATTAACTCGATTAATTAATGTGATTTTTGCAAAATAAATGGCGCAATTAGATAGGAAATTTTCTAAGCTACAAAAAAGGTTTTCTTATTTTTTCAAATCGGAGCTATAGTTTCCGAGATATTAATCGATTAATCAAAAAATTCATGAACTACGATAAAAATCGTATTTTTAGTGATTAATGGGGTATAACTCGATAAATATTGACATTATCAAAAAAATGATTAGAACTAATCTTGTAGCAAATTGTCCAAGCTACAAAAAAGGTTTGACTTTTTTTAAAATCGGAGCTATAGTTTCCGAGATATTAATCGATTAATCAAAAAAATTGACAAAATATGATAAAAACAGTATTTTTTAGTGATTAATGGGGTATAACTCGATAAATATCAACTTTATCGAAAAAATGATAAGGACCAATCTTGTAGCAAATTTTCCAAGCTACAAAAATGTTTTGAGTTTTTTTTTTTTCAATTAAAGCAATAGTTTCCGAGATATTGATGGATTAATCAAAATTATTTACCTTAAGCGTTCCATAAATGAGTAGCGGCATCAAAACAGAGCCTATTGCGTTATAAGCTAGCTTCCAAATGGTTCCCAGGTTGGCTCTATTGAAGCACAGGGACGAGAAGACCTCGCAGACGTCATTGTTGAATATCAATATCCCGTAAAAGAATAAATAATTTAACTGTAATAATTAATCCTCCATTGATATATAATTTAATTGTAAATAATTAATTATTAACAAACCATCCATAAAATAGCGATTATTAACGTCCCAGTTTGAAGACTGAAGCAACAACAACTGTTAATTTTTCTAACCAACATTCTAGATTAAAAATAAAATAAATAAAACACCGACAGCGTCTGACAAAAGAATAAATTTGGTGATCTATTAAAGGTGTGTACTTAATAATTCTTTTATCTCTATAGTATATTTTTTTAACCTTATCTTTATGGCGTCAGTGAGATTATGAAAAAAAAAAAAAAGTAAATTAACGTTCTACCTAATTATTCTGTAATATTTATTTTTTGTTTAAGAAATATGCAATCATAATAAAAATAAAACTAAATTGTTATCATAGATGATTAATCAACTTGTTTTCCAAATCCGTGATTAATAATTCCATTCTCAGAAGTAATTTCTTCTTGAATCGGCTCTGGTGGTCGATCAATCGGCTTTTCTCTGGAGAATATCAATTTTTCCAAGATTACAAATGGCGATTCAAAGACAAGACTGAAGATAATTGCCGCTAAAAAGCTTGTTATTACGTCAATGATGATGATAATTATCTGTGGAATTAATTAATGCATTATTAAAGCATTATAATTAATTGTAATTAAGTAGTGAGAATTGTTTACCATTTGATATTCGGAAAAGTAGATAGGAGTTCTCATTGAGTACACTCTGATGCTCTGGATTATCAAGTGGAGCAGGTAGATTGAGTACGATACCCTACTGAAGGGCAAGTAGATCGGGTGTGACAAGAATTTTGTAACAATGCCTGAAAAAGTGGGGACAAGTAAGTGTTTAAGCGGTTTCAAGGTCATTTTAAGGAGTTTTGGTGATTACTCGGTTATTTTTGGAAGATTAAGGGATATTTTGGTGATATTTGATAGGAAATTCAATAAACTACAAGGAAAGTCCTTGGGAGTCTTGATAGGAGCGATAGGTACTGAGATATTGATGGATTAAAATCACAAAATTTCAAGATTTTTTATGAAAATTGCAATTTTTGGTGATTAATTGACATTAACTTGGTTAATATCGATGATATTAAAAAAATTGATTGAGGAATTTTTAGGAAATTTACTAAGCTACAAAAAAGGTCCTAAGAAGTTTTTTCCTAGGAGCGATAATTTCCGAGATATCGACCGATTAATCATAAATGTTATTTTTTTTGGTTCAAAAACTGTTTTTTGGTGATTAATGGCCTGTACGAGTTACTCGGTAAATATCAACTCAATAAAAAAAAAATTAGCGGTCATTTTTATAGGAAATGACCTGAGCTTCACAAAAAGTCATCAACTTTTCGCCTAGGATCGATAGTTTCCGAGATATTGATCAATTAATCACAAAAACTCATAGTTTCAGTAGAATTCTACGTATTTTTGGTTAATATTTTTGAAATATCGCGATTAAAATGATTTGTTTTACCTCCGTGGCCTAGAGCAGACATAAATATGATCCAGCATACTCCAAAAGCCCATATATGCCTTCCTAACCCACCGTGGAACATTTCCCAGTACATATTCCACTTGTAATCTTCTTGTTGATAGATTCTGAAGGTAAAATATCCATAAGTGAAGGCTAGAAATGTCAAAATCCAGCCAATTATTCTCACTCCAGAACTCGGAGGTTTACTTCCAGATGCAATAAGGTACCCCGTTAGAATTCCTAGCAGCCAAGGCCCAGCACGGCAGTAAGGAACGACGTAATACTTGAGCATCATTCTTATGTCGGTGCTAAAATATTCTCAATTAATTAATTCCCAATTAATCCTTCAATTCTATTTGTTTAATAACTCACTATTGTTCCTTGCTGATCATCGTTGAGAACTTATTGACCATCACTACAGTAGCTGGCGTGATTACCGACGCAACAATGGCCGCCGAAAGGATGATTAATCCTAACTTAGGCTTCTTGTAAAGCGGATAGAGGATGAATGGGCTCACCCAGAACAATTGCATATCCATTGCTAGGTACCAGGTGTGGACAAGGCATGTCTGGAATAATTTAGACACTTGTTAGTGGTGATTAATGATAGATTAATCGCTTATACTGACCATTCCTTGGACGTAATAAAAATTGTAACCATATAGGATCATTGGCAACCAATCTTGCTTGCAAGAGGTACTTTGGTTGTTAAACGCTGGCTGCCAGAGTGCTCCTGAACTCATTTTTGGAATAAGGTATATCGTAAATAGCAGCAGCGCTCCGTACGCGGGTGTTAATCTGTGTTAATCAGTGTAAGGGTTGTTTTAAAGTGGCTGTAACTCGAAAAATGTTGGTTTTAGGGGATTTTTTTTTTACCTTATGTATCGATGCAGGTAGTACATAAAGACATTAAACTTGCGTCTCTTAGCCATTTCTTTGAGAAATAAGTACGAAGTCAAGAATCCAGTTACCGCAAGAAAGGTGTCCAGCGAATAAGTAGCCACAAAGACGTGAGTTGACCGCCAAGAGTAGTACCACTGAAAAAGGAGGAATAATACAATAGTAATTGATGATTAATGGCCGTTAATCAGTCACTTACACTTTCGACTTCTCCGAGATTGATCATGCTGCAGCTAAGGGAGTGAATGTAGGCGTGGACGAAGATTATCCAGAACATGCTAAAGACTTTGAGGCCTGCGATGCCAGGAATGTTCTCCTTGGAGACTTTGGTGCTCAGGATGCGTTGGCCGTTGACGATGAATGAAAATTTGCTGAGTGTGGTGATCAAGCCACTGTTAATGCTGGTGAACTTTGGAAGTAGTTCGCAAAAGGTGCAGATTAATAGGAAGGTCACAAGACCCACAAAGACGCCCCTGGAATAATTAATTGATGATTAATAGGTTATAAAATTTTTCTAGCTCTTGCTAAAAGGCTTTTTGATTAACCTTAGCTTTGATATTTTGAAACATCAGTGCTGGTTAAAATTCCGGCAATTCATCCATCAATGTCAATGTCATCGTTAAATATTGCAGTAATCGCAAACAATCGTTTCTTGTGATAACAAAATGAAATTCAAAAGCAAGCAGTGAGTTATAATAAAACTTGTTAACAATGTTATCGAATGCATTATCACGAAAAATTTGCTTGCACAGATGCGCAAAAATAAATGATATTATGTTGAAAAGATACTTTTGATTGCCGGCTGCGTTACTTTTGTATTGGAGTATTGATTTTACAAGAAATGTCAGAGAGTAAAAATAATTACTTATATTAATTCAAAATTTGATAACTTGTACAGAATTTATAGGGATCAATTGGTCTTTATCTTCGTAGGAAATGAAATTTCCTTAAAAAAAAGTATTATTACAGATCAATTAATCTAGTTAATCAACACTATAATGAAAAATACTCACAGAGTGACTTTAGCACCGAGTTCCCAGGGCTGAGCATCAACTTCGGAGCAAATCGTGTTGTTTACCCGGATCTCGCGACCGCCCAGGAACTGTTCAGCCATGTTAAACAGCTTCTGCATCTTCTCCTTGACCTGCTTTGGGCTGCAGGTCGCTGGCAAGCAGACACTCATAATAGGATCAATAGGCAGCGTTGTTACATTGAAATTCCCCTTGAGGGAGAATATGCAGTGCTTCCCTCTGATGGTCTCGTTCCCGACAGTGGCGTTGACCTTGATGCACTGGTCGTACATCCCCAGGTCCCTGATGTTACCCTCGAAGATCCCCGAGGGAAGCTTTGTGCTCGCGTCAAACACTAACAAACGAAAGGAGAGGGGAGCCATTAGCTTGAAAGTCTTCTCAGGAGAAGGGCAAGGGTAGGAGGAATGTTAATTAATTAACAAGAACAAACTAGTGGTATTAGGACAGGGGCAAAGTGTTAATAAAAGGTTAAATACTTTCCAGCGCCCAGGGCTCGAACTTTTGGAGCGAGTCCTCGAAGATTTGGACTTGGTGGTCGCATTTTGCCTCCAGAGAATTATTTTTTGGAGCATAAGTCTCTGGGATTCGTAGCGGCGGTAGATAAGTCTTTACTGTTTTGTTGGTTCCTCCTGGAGAATCCGCGGAACTCAACGAGATACACACCAGGATTAACAAACTCTGTTTTATTACTACCACCCCGAGTGACATTTCGGATCAATATGACTTATTATCGCTGCTTATTATTAAATATTAATAAGACGAAGATTGGTTAATCAATTTGCTTTAAGACAACAGCATGTTAATTAAGTAGTATCCAACAAAAATCAGAACCAACAGTTGGATCGTTTTATAAAAAACTTTTGGCAGTCATCAAAATTTTATATAATTGAATTATTTTCTTCAGACTTCTAACAGCAAATATTAAAAACTATTCCAGATTCTTTCGTATTAACATTGTTTTTTTTTTTTTTTTTTTTTTTTTTTTTTTTTTTTTCAATGAAACAATATGATAATTCTTTTTAATAATTAATAATAACTTATATAATACAGATTAATCAAATCGTTTTTATAAATTCATATGCATGAATGATGATCTCGCTGCCAAAAGTAGTTTCATTTGGAAGATTTCCTGAAGATTGCTTAGTCGGCTTTTTCCTGGAGAATATCAATTTTTCCAGGACCACAAATGGCGACTCGAAAATCAGTGTGCAGAGAAACCCGCCGATAATGCAGATCAACATATCGCTGAGGTAGAATTCGAGCTGTAAGATCGGTTAATTAATAATAAATCAAAGATTTTAACCATAAAGGTTGATTGTAGTTACCAGCTTAAAGTCAGTGAAGTAGAAGGGGACTCTATCGGAGGCCAGTTTAATGGACTGGATGGTGTAGTGTAACAGGTAAATTGAGTATGATATCCTGCTGAGAGGCAAGTAGATTGGCAGAGACAGGAACTTGGACACGAGGCCTGTTAAATGGGATTAATTGACTGATTAAACGGTCTAAAGGCTGTTGTACACGATATTTTGGTGATTAATCCCTGATAACTCGGTTGCTATTAATGATTAAAATGATATTTTTACCTCCGTGGCCTACAGCAGACACATAGATGATCCAGCAGACTCCAAATGCCCAGAAATGCCTCGCAAACGCAGCCTGGAAGGTTTCCCAGTAGATATTCCACTTGTAGTCTTTTTTTTGGTAGACTGTGTACGTAAAAAACGAGTACGCGAAGGCTAGAATCGCCAAAATCCAGCCAAGTTTCCTCCCTCCAGGGATGGGAAGTCTCTTACCGGTTGCCAAAAGGTATCCCAATAAGATCCCTAGCAACCAAGGCCCAGCGCGGGCGTGAGTTAAGATGTAGAAGTTCAGCAAAATCAACCTATCATTACTGAAATGACAATTGATGAGTCTTAATTAACAATTCCTCCAGCATACTATTTACCGATCCTTCGGGTGTAAGGTTGCAGGTAGTTTATTGACAGCCGCTACAACAGCTGGCGAGATCATCGACGCAACAATAGCGGCCGAGAGGATGATTAATCCCACCTTGGGCTTCTTGTAAAGTGGATAGATGATTAATGGGCTCACCCAGAAGAGTTGCATGTCCACTGCCAGGTACCAGGAGTGGCCCATACACATCTGGATTAATTAAGACACTTGTTAGTTTCATGGTTAGTGATGATTAATGGTCGATTAATCGGTCATACTGACCAGGCCGTCTGTGTAGACGTAATTGTGAACATATAGGAGCATCGGCCACCACTCGCGTTTGCAAGAGTCACTCTCAGTGGTCGTTGTTGTTTGCCAGAGGGCGCCTGAACCCAGTTTTGGAACCAGAAATGTTGTAATTAACACCAGTGCCATGAACATAGGAGTTAATCTGAAGTTACAGCCCATTAATCAATGATTCAATTGATTAATCATTAATAAATCAATTTTTTACCTAAAATATCGATGAAAATAGTAGAAAAAAATGTTAAACTTGCGCCCCCTGGCCATTTCCTTGAGAAACAAGTAAGAAGTTAACACTCCAGTTATTGTAAGAAATGTATCCACCGAATACTGAGGGAAAGATAAGATGAAGGTTGCTTTCCAAGAATACCACCACTAAAAATCAAAGAAAATGATCAACTATTATGGTTAATTGTACGATATTCATTCTCTTACCGGCTTGATGTCAGCAAGATTAACAACGCTACTAAAGACTGTTTTGAAATATCTGTGTCCTAGGACGACTAAGGCTAAGGCATAGGCTTTGACGCCTGCAATTATTGGTAGGTTTTCTTCAGGGGCCTTGGTGCTCAGGATGCGTCGGCTATTGACAATTAATGAAAATTTTCCGAGGGTCTTGATCAAGCTACTGTTGATGCTGGTTAACATCAAAAGCAATTCGCAGATAGTGCAAATTAATAGGAAGGTCATAAGAGCCCCTAAAACGCCTCTGGAAGGATGAATTGGTGATTAATTTAATGCCCGATAATTCGGTTAATGTTAGTTTTAGGAACAAAGTAAGAGACCTTTTTGAAGAAAATTAAATTTCTATAAGGAAACGGTGGTTGTGAAGTGGTTGTGAAAATTTTCTCATTGGTTTAAATTTTTTAAATTTAGTTCAATAATAAATTGTCTGCTTATAAAATTTGGAAATATTATAAATTGTGTCATTATTATTACGTTACATAAAACGCTTGCATCGAATCTCAAATAATCATTAATGTACACACGTAAGTAGATTTTTTGCATATGTAAGCAGCATAATTTTTATCAGAACTTTACACAAGTGCGCGTCTGGACGTATCATATTTCACGCGATAGGTATATGATTAGTAAATGGCTCCTTAACCTTTGAATTATTGATTTTAGGTTAGAAGACAATTTTTATTAAAGATCAATTAACCTATTAATAATCTAGTTAATTGATACTATAATTAAAAATACCTACAGAGTGACTTTAGTACCGAGTTCCCAGGGCTGATCATCAACTTCGGAGCAGGTCGCGTTTTTTACCCGGATCTTGTTGCCGCCCAGGAACTGTTCTGCCATGTTCATCATCTTCTGCATCTTCTCCTTGACCTGCTTCGGGCTGCAGGTAGCTGGCAAGCAGACACTCATAGCAGGATCAACAGGCAGTTTTTTTGCATTAAAATTCCCCTCGAGGGTGTACATGCAGTGCTTCCCTCTGATGGTCTCGTTCCCGACAGTGGCGTTGATCTTGAGGCACTGGTCGTACATCCCCAGGTCCTTGATGTTCCCCTGGAAGATCCCCGAGGGAATCTTTGTGCTCGCGTCAAACACTAACAAACCAAAGGAGAAGGGTGCCATATTAGCTTGAAAGCCTTCTCAGGAGAAGGGCAAGGGTAGGAGGAATGTTAACTAATTAACAAGAACAAACTAGTGGTATTAGGACAGGGGCAAAGTGTTAATAAAAGGTTAAATACTTTCCAGCGCCCAGAGCTCGAACTTTTGGAGCGAGTTCTCGAAAATTTGAACTTGGTGGTCGCATTTTGCCTCCAGAGAATTATTTTTTGGTGCGTAAATCTCTGGGATTCGTAACGGCGGTAGATAAGTCTTTACTGTTTTGTTGGTTCCTCCTGGAGAATCCGCGGAACTCAACGAGAGACACACCAGGGTCAACAAACTCTGTTTTACTGCTACCACCCCGACTGACATTTCGGATCAATATGACTTATTATCGCTACTTATTATTAAATATTAATGAGACGAAGATTCGTTAATTAATTTGCTTTAAGACAACAGCTTGTTAATCATGTATATAACACGAATCAGATTCACCAGCTGAATATTTTCATAAGAAACTTTTCACACCCATGGAACTGTTACTTCATCGAATTATTTTCTTCAGACTACCAAAGACAAATAATAAAGACTACTTTACATTCTTTCGTAAAATTTATTTTGTTCAGCGTAGCAATACCAATAATCATAAATTATATCATACAGATTAATCAAATTGTTTTTCATATGCATGAATGATGATCTCGCTGCCAAAAGTAGTTTCATTTGGAAGATCACCTGGAGAATATCAATTTTTCTAGGACCACAAATGGTGACTCGAAAATCAGCGTGAAGAGAAACCCGCCGATTGTGCATCAGAGTAATATATCGCTGACGTAGAATTGAAGCTGTAAGATTGGTTAATTAATGATTAATCGGAGATTTTGACCATAAAAATTGTTTGCAATTACCATCTGAAAGTCAGAAAAGTAGTAAGGCACTCTATCGGAGGCCATTTTGATTGTCTGGATGGTGTATAGTGTAGCAGATAAATTGAGTATGATATTCTGCTGAGAGGTAAGTAGATTGGCAATGACAGGAATAACTTGGACACGAGGCCTGTTAAATCGGGTTAATCAACTAATAAGCGGTCTGAAGGCTGTTTTTGGTGATTAATCACTGATAACCCGGTTGCTAATAATGATTTAAATGATTTTTTTTTACCTCCGTGGTATAGAGCAGACACGTAGATGATCCAGCAGACTCCAAACGCCTAAAAATGCCTCGCAAACCCAGCATGGAAGGATTCCCAGTAGATGTTCCACTGGTAGTCTTCTTGTTGGTAGATTCTGTACGTAAAAAACGAGTACACGAGGGCTAGAGTCGCCAAAATCCAGCCAAGTTTCCTTCCTCCAGAGATAGGGAGTCTTTTACCGGTTGCCAAAAGGTATCCTAATAAGATTCCTAGCAACCAAGGACCAGCGCGGGTGTGAGTTAAGATGTAGAAGTTCAGCAACATCAACCTATCATCACTGGAATGACAATTAATAAGTCTTAATTATCAATTCCGTCAACATACTATTTACCGATCATCCTCTGGTGTAAGGTTGAAGGTAGTTGATTGACAGCTACTACAACAGCTGGCGTGATTATCGACGCAACAATGGCGGCCGAGAGGATGATTAATCCCAGCTTGGGCCTCTTGTAAAGCGGATAGATGATTAATGGGCTCACCGAGAAGAGTTGCATGTCCACTGCCAGGTACCAGGAGTGGCCCATACACATGTCTGGGTCAATCAAGACACTTGTTAGTTTCATGGTTAGTGATGATTAATGGTCTATTAATCGGTCATACTGACCAAATCGTCTGTGTAGACGTAATTATGAACATAAAGGAGCATCCGCCACCACTCGCGTCTGCAAGAGTCACTGCAAGAGTCGGTGGTCGTTGTTGTCTGCCAGAGGGCGCCTGAACCCAGTTTTGGAAGCAGGAATGTTGTAATTAACATCAGTGCCATGAACATAGGGGTTAATCTGAAGTTACAGCCCGTTAATCAACGACTCAATTGATTAATCATTAATAAATCGATTTTTTACCTTAAATATCGATGAAAATAGTAGAAAAAAATGTTAAACTTGCGCCCCCTGGCCATTCCCTTGAGAAACAAGTAAGAAGTTAAAACTCGAGTTATTGTAAGAAATGTATCCACCGAATACTGAGGAAAAGTTAAAATAACGATCAGTGGCCAAGAGTGGTAGTACTGAAAATCAAAGAAAATTGTCAACTGTGATGGTTAATTGTATGGGATAATCCAGCTCTCTTACCAGCTTGATGTCAGCATAATTAACGACACTACTGAAGAGTGATATTAAGTATCTGTGTCCTGGGACGATCAAGAGGCTATGCCGTAGACTTTGAGGCCTGGAATAATTGGTAGGTTTTCTTCAGGGGCCTTAGTGCTCAGGATGCGTCGCGGCTATTGACAATTAATGAAAATTTGCCGAGGGTCTTGATCAAGCCACTGTTTATGCTGGTTAACTTTGAAAGCAGTTCGCAGATGGTGTTAGGGACTTATTTTGTAGGAAATCAAATTTCCTATCAAGTATTACCATTACTTTCCAGAAATTTTCTTATTTAACTCAGAAAATCAATTTTTGAAGTGATTATTAAATATTAATGAGACGAAGATTTGTTAATTAATTTGCTTTAAGACAACAGCTTGTTAATCATGTATATAACACGGTGCCACGACTAGATACCCGCGACTAAATAACCGCGCGACATTACACCCGCGGTGCTATATGTCAGCGTCATAATGTCCGTGACAAATTTGGGAATTGGGTAAATAAAGGCGATAAGGGAAAGGGGAAGACCTCTTTTTACTCAGCAGGAATATTATTAGTGACTGAAAAAATAATTCGGACAGCCCGGACCGGGAATCGAACCCGGATCGTTCGGTTACGCCCCAAAGGCTCTACCAGTTAAGCTATTCGAGACCTTGTCCGTAATTTATTATTCAGTCACATATTAACAACCTGACGTGAGTAAACACCACCGTCCATCTTACGACAATAACAAATATTAATTTGTAGTTAAATTTGTCATGTCGATAATTTAGCGACCTATAGTTACGGGTACTCTGTCGCGGGAGTCGCAGGCTATTCCATCACAGGTTATTCTGTCGCGGTTATTTAGGTTATTTTGTCCGTAGTCAATTTTTGTTACGGCGCCATATAACACGAATCAGATTCACCAGTTGGATATTTTTATAAGAAACTTTTGACACCCATGAAACTGTTACTTCATCGAATTATTTTCTTCAGACTTCTCAAAACAAATAATAAAGACAACTTTACATTTTTTTGGATAATTTATTTTGTTCAACATAGCAATATTAATCATAAATTATATCATACAGATTAATCAAATTGTTTTTTATCTGCATGAATGATGATCTCGTTTCCAAAAGTAGTTTGTTTTGGAAGATCTCCTGCAGATGATTGATTAATTGGCTTTATTCTGGAGAATATCAATTTTTCCAGGACCACAAATGGCGACTCGAAAATCAGTGTAAAGAAAAACCCGCCGATTATGCAGACTGACATATCACTGAGGTAGATTTGGAGCTGTAAGATAGATTAATTAATAATTAATTGAAGATTTTAACCATAAAGGTTGATTGCAGTTACCAGTTCTAAGTCATTGAAGTAGTAGGGCACTCTAACGGCGGCCATTTTGGTGGTCTGTAAGGTGTAGTGTAGCAGATAAATTGAGTATGATATTCTGCTGAGAGGCAAGTAGATTGGCAGTGACAGGAACTTGGACACGAGGCCTGTTAAATGGGATTAATTGACTGATTAAGTGATCTGAAGGCTGTTTTACAGGATTTTTTGGTGATTAATCCCTGATAACTCGGCTGCTATTAATGATTAACAAAATTTTATTTACCTCCGTGGCCTTGAGCAGACACATAGATGATCCAGCAGACTCCAAACGCCCAGAAATGCCTCGCGACCCCAGAATGAAAGGATTCCCAGTAGATGTTCCACTTGTAGTCTTCTTGTTGATAGATTCTGTACGTAAAAAACGAGTACGCGAAGGCTAAAATCGCCAAAATCCAGCCAAGTTTCCTCCCTCCAGGAATAGGAAGTCTCTTACCGGTTGCCAAAAGGTATCCCAATAAGATTCCTAGCAACCAAGGCCCAGCGCGGTTGTAAGTTAAGATGTAAAAGTTCAGCAACATAAACCTATCATCACTGAAATGACAATTCATAAGTCTCAATTATCAATTTCTCCAAAATACTATTTACTTATCCTTCGGTTGAAAGGCTGTAGAGAATTTTTTAATAGCCGCTACAACAGCTGGCGTGATTACCGACGCAGCAATGGCGGCCGAGAGGATGATTAATCCCAGCTTGGGCTTCTTGTAAAGCGGATAGATGATTAATGGGCTCACCCAGAACAGCTGCATGTCCAATGCCAGGTACCAGGTGTGGAGTAGACATGACTGGAACAATCAAGACACTTGTTAGTTTCATGGTTAGTGATGATTAATTGGCGATTAATCGGTTATACTGACCATACCGTCTGTGTAGACGAAATTGTGAACATATAGGAGCATCGGCCACCACTCGCGTTTACAAGAGTCACTCTCGGTGGTTGTTATTGTCTGCCAGAGGGCGCCTGAACCCAGTTTTGGAAGCAGGAATGTTGTAATTGATATCAGTGCCATGAACATAGGGGTTAATCTGAAGTTACATCCCATTAATCAACGACTCAATTGATTAATCATTAATAAGTCGATGTTTTACCTTAAATATCGATGAAGATAGTAGAGAAAAATGTTAAACTTGCACCCTTTGGCCATTTCCTTGAGAAACAAGTAAGAAGTTAAAACTCCAGTTATTGTAAGAAATGTATCCACCGAATATTGAGGGAAAGTAAAGATGAAGGTCGCTTGCCAAGAGCGGCTCCACTGAAAATCAAAGAAAATTATCAACTGTGACAGTTAATTGTAGGATAATCATTTTCTTACCGGCTCGGTGTCAGCAAGATTAACAACACTACCGTGGGATGTTATAAAGTATCTGTGTCCTAGGACGATTAAGGATATGCCGTAGACTTTGAGGCCTGCAATGATTGTTAGGTTTTCTTCAGGGGCCTTGGTGCTCAGGATATTTCGGCCGTTGACGATGAATGAAAATTTGCCGAGGGTGTTGATCAAGCCACTGTTGATGCTGATGATCTTTGGAAGTAGTTTGCAGAAGGTGCAGATTAATAGGAAGGTCACAAGACCCCCAAAGACGCCCCTGAAAAGATTAATTGCTGATTAATAGGTTATAAAATTTTTCTAGCTCTTGCTAAAAGGCTTTCTGATCCATCTCTTTAGTATTTCGAAACATCAGTGCTGGTTAAAATTCCAATCATGCCTTAATTAATGTCAATGTCGTCGTTAAATATTGCAGTAATCGAAAAACAATCGTTTTTTATGTTAACAAAATGAAATTCAAAAGCAAGCAGTGAGTTATATTAAAACTCGTTAACAATGTTATCACATGCATTATCACGGAAAATTTGCTTGCACAAGTGCGTTTAAAAGCATATGATATTATGTTTAAAAGATACTTTTGATTAACGGATCCGTTACTTTTAGAGTATTGATTTCACAAGAAATGTCAAAGAGTAAAAATAATTACTTATTAATCCAAAATTTTACATAATTTTAGGGATCAATTGGTCTTTATCTTCGTAGGAAATGAAATTTCCTTAAAAAAAAGTATTATTACAGATCAATTAATCTAGTTAATCAACACTATAATGAAAAATACTCACAGAGTGACTTTAGCACCGAGTTCCCAGGGCTGATCATCAACTTCGGAGCAGGTCGCGTTTTTTACCCGGATCTCGCGACCGCCCAGGAACTGTTCAGCCATGTTCATCAGCTTCTGCATCTTCTCCTTGACCTGCTTCGGGCTGCAGGTAGCTGGCAAGCAGACACTCATAATAGGATCAATAGGCAGTTTTTTTGCATTAAAATTCCCCTCGAGGGTGTACATGCAGTGCTTCCCTCTGATGGTCTCGTTCCCGACAGTGGCGTTGACCTTGAGGCACTGGTCGTACATCCCCAGGTCCTTGATGTTCCCCTGGAAGATCCCCGAGGGAATCTTTGTGCTCGCGTCAAACACTAACAAACCAAAGGAGAAGGGTGCCATATTAGCTTGAAAGCCTTCTCAGGAGAATGGCAAGGGTAGGAGGAATGTTAACTAATTAACAAGAACAAACTAGTGGTATTAGGACAGGGGCAAAGTGTTAATAAAAGGTTAAATACTTTCCAGCGCCCAGAGCTCGAACTTTTGGAGCGAGTCCTCGAAAATTTGGACTTGGCGGTCGCATTTTGCCTCCAGAGAATTATTTTTTGGCGCGTAAATCTCTGGGATTCGTAGCGGCGGTAGATGAGTCTTTACTGTTTTGTTGGCTCCTTCCGGAGGATCCGCGGAACTCAACGAGATACACACCAGGATCAACAAACTCTGTTTTATTGTTACCACCCCGACTGACATTTCGGATCAATATGATTTATTATCGCTGCTTATTATTGAATATTAATGAAACCAAGCTTGGTTAATCAATTCTTCCAAAGATAACAGTATGTAAATTATATTTAAGCTACATTAATTACATTTATCAAACTTTCTCAACCTTTTTATTCTTTGAAAAAAATCAACAAGGCACCTTGAATTTCTTAAAAAAATATGTATTTTATTCCTTTCTCCGTTTTAAAATTAACAAATTAATATCTAACTACTTCTCAAACCCGTTATTAACGACTCCGTTCTCAACTGAAGCATCTCCTTCCTGCAATTTCTCAAAATTATTCTTATCAACTGTCTCACGTTTGTCTACTTTTCCTTTTTTAGTAAGGATCAACTTTTCCAGGACCAAAAATGGCGACTCGAAGATCAGGCTGAAGACAAAAGCACTGAGGAAGCAAATCACCAGGTCGTTGATGAATCCTTCCAGCTTTAGATAAATTAATTGTGGATTAATGCACTCTCTTAGAAGACGGTTCAATTAACATTGCAAAGCTTACCATCTGAACGTCGCTAAAGTAGGCTGAAATTCGTGAAGATGCTATTTTAATTGTCTGAATTTGGTAGTGAAGGAGGTACATTGAGTATGATAATCTGCTGAAGGGCAAGTAGATCGGTAGTGAAAGAAATTTCGACAATATTCCTGAAAATAGATACCTAGTTCATCAATTAATTGATCTAAAAACGATTTTGATCGATTTTTTGATGATTAATCCATGATAACTTATTTTAAAGCAGCAATTTTTAAAAAAATTCGGTCATATTTTCTAGGAAATTTCCTGAGCTTTCAAAAAGGTCCTTATAACTTTTTCTCTAAGTCTAATAGGTTCCGAGATATCGATCGATTAATCATAAATGTTGGTTTTTTTGGTTCAAAAACCATTTTTTTGTGATTAATGGTCTGTATCTCAGTAAATATCGACTCAATTAAAACAACTAGGGGTCATTTTCATATAAAATGACCTGAGCTACAAGAAAAGTCATCAACTTTTCGCCTAGGACTGATAGTTTCTGAGATACGGATCGATTAATCTCAAAAACTCATAGTTGCAACGGAATTCTCCGTATTTTCGATTAACATCCTTGAAATATCGCGATTATCATGATTTGTTTTACCTCCGTGGCCTAGAACAGACACATAGATGATCCAGCAGCCTCCAAACGCCCAAATATTCCTAGCAAACGCAGCTTGGAAGGTTTCCCAGTAGATATTCCACTGGTAGTCTTCTTGTTGGTAGATTCTGTAGGTAAAAAACGAGTACGCGAAGGCTAAAATTGCCAAAATCCAGCCAAGCTTCCTCTTAATAGGGGTTGGGAGTCTCCTACCGGTTGCCAAAATGTACCCCAATAGGACTCCTAGGACCCAGGGCCCAGCCCGAGTATAAGTAACGATGTAGAAGTAAAGCATCATGTCTACCACGCTGTTAAGACTGCGAAAAAAGTCGATTAATATTAGTTTTTTTTTTTTTTTTTTTTTTTTTTTTTTTTTTCTAAAAATAGTGAATTAACATTGTTTACTTACTCGCCAGTCACTCTTAAAGAAACAGTGAACTTATTAACAGCCGCTACAACAGCTGGCGTGATCATCGACGCAGCAATGGCGGCCGAGAGGATGATTAATCCCAGCTTGGGCTTCTTGTAAAGCGGATAGATGATTAATGGGCTCACCCAGAAGAGTTGCATATCCACTGCCAGGTACCAGGAGTGGCCCATACACATCTGGATTAATTAAGACACTTGTTAAGTTCATTAGTGGTGATTAATGGTCGATTAATCGGTCATACTGACCATACCATCTTTGTAAACGTAATTGTGAACATAAAGGAGCATCGGCCACCAGTTGAGTCTGCAGTAGTTACTTTCAGTTGTGATTATTGACTGCCAGAGGGCGCCTGAACCCAATTTTGGAAGCAGGAAGGTTGTAAATAACAGCAGCGCCATAAACGCCGGTGTTAATCTGTGTTAACAAACATTGTAATTGTTATTTAAGGTCCTATAAACTCAATAATTTTGAAGTTATAGCCTATTGATTGTTGAATTATATGATTAATCATCAATTTTTTTTAATAAATTAGTTACTATCTTACCTTATATATCTGTGAATATAGTAATAAAATATATTAAAATTCCGTCCACGAGCCATTTCTTTAAAAAATAAGTATGAAGTCAAGAAACCGCTCATTGCAAAAAATGTATCCACTGCAAAAGGAGCTATAAGGATGTGTATAGCGCCCCAGGAGCGGAACCACTATAACAAAAAAAAAAAAAAATTAATAAGTAAATTAATTACTTAATAAGAGAATGATTATAATGATTAATTATGATGATTTACTGGCAAAGCATCAGCAGAATTAACGACGCTGCCGAAAAAACTGTGGATGTAAGTGTGCCCTAGGATGACCCAACACATACTGTAGAACCTGATGCCTGCTATGGCTGGTAGGTTCCCTTTGCCGGCTTTAGTGCTCAGGATGCGTTGACCGTTCACGATTAATGAGAATTTGCAGAGAGTGTTTACCAAGCTGCTGTTGATACTGGTAATTCGTGATAGCAGGTCACAGAAGGTGCAGATTAATAGGAAGGTTACAAGACTTCCGAAGACTCCACTGAAAATAATTAATAGATGGTTAAGGCATTAATAACCTATAGTTAATCAACATTATAATCAAAAATACCTACAGAGTGACTTTAGCACCGAGTTCCCAGGGCTGATCATCATCTTCGGAGCAGGTCGCGTCTTTTACGTGGATCTTGATGCCGCCCAGGAACGGTTCAGTCATGTTAATCAGCCCCTGCATCTTCTCCTTGACCTGCTTCGGGCTGCAGGTAGCTGGAAAGCAGACACTCAGAGCAGGATTAACAGGCAGCTTTGTTGCATTGAATTCCCCCTCGAGGGTGTACATGCAGTGCTTCCCTCTGATGGTCTCGTTCCCGACAGTGGCGTTGATCTTGAGGCACTGGTCGTACATCCCCAGGTCCTTGATGTTCCCCTGGAAGATCCCCGAGGGAATCTTTGTGCTCGCGTCAAACACTAACAAACCAAAGGAGAAGGGTGCCATATTAGCTTGAAAGCCTTCTCAGGAGAAGGGCAAGGGTAGGAGGAATGTTAACTAATTAACAAGAACAAACTAGTGGTATTAGGACAGGGGCAAAGTGTTAATAAAAGGTTAAATACTTTCCAGCGCCCAGAGCTCGAACTTTTGGAGCGAGTTTTCGAAAATTTGGACTTGGTGGTCGCATTTCGCCTCCAGAGGATTATTTTTTGGAGCGTAAGTCTCTGGGATTCGTAGCGGCGGTAGATGAGTCTTTACTGTTTTGTTGGCTCCTTCCGGAGGATCCGCGGAACTCAACGAGATACACACCAGGATCAACAAACTCTGTTTTATTGCTACCACCCCGACTGACATTTCGGATCAATATGACTTATCATTGCTGCTTATTGTTAAATTTAACTGACGTCGTGACTCAGCAATCTAGATAACAATCTAGAAATTACACTGCTGATAGTCAACAATAACAAGAATTTGCGGCCGGTGAATCTCAGTGCATAAACAACTTTAATTATCAGTCAGTCTTTATATTCACACTTTGGCTTACGTAACTTATAATCATTAACTATTATTATTTATTATCATTGAAGTGTTGACTATTTTTAGATATTTGAAATTGTCGATATTTGTTAACAAGAAAATTATTGTAAGCAAATAAAATAATAATTATTATTTTAACAATCGGAATATTTAATCGACCAGACAATTGTTCTACAATTCAAGCTATCTTATCATTCTCGTCTTATTATTATTGGTTATCTGATAAATAAAATTAAATCAATAAAAATAACACATACTTATACTTATCACTAATTTAATTAATTTAGTAAATAAATTATCTTGTAAAGGTATAATAATAATAATAATAATAATAATAATGTATATTCGTTGTTGTTGTTAGATTAATTAATGAGTTTTTTAAATTATTGGCAATATTTGTCCTCTAAAAATTTACAAAAATAAATAACAACAATAATTGAGGCAGTTGAAACCGCGAAAATGTATAATTAAAAAAAAAAAGGAACTTAAACAGTGACAGGAGGTTGATGTTCCTTGCTGACGACGTAGAACTTGTGTTTCTTACCGAGCAGCGCCCAGACGACTGCGATGTTCTCGGTGACGAGGTTGAAGGGAATGATTGCGAGGGCTCCGGATATGAACGCCAGATACCGGAAGAGCCCGAACCTGCTCAGGGAGAAGGACTTTATCACTCCGAAGACGTACATGTAGATGCTAATCGCCCCGATAAACGCGCACAGCCCGTCGAGGATCTTCGGACAGCTGATTGGGCACAGCCTTGCCAGGAGAATGTTTGAGGTCGACAGTGGGAGGGTTGCCCACGAGTACCAGCTGACTCCCAGCAGGAGCTTGTTCTTCAGAGGAATCTGCCGGGAGTGGACCACCAGATAAATCCCCTGGATCCACCGCTTACGCTGCTGGATAAAGTCCCAGATAGTGAAGGGAGACTTCTCCCACATCTCACCCTCGATGAAGTTGAACGAGTGCCCGAGGCTAAAGGCCTTCAATGCGAAGAAACAGTCCTCGGCGATTGACCCGTCTATCCCGTTGTCGAAGCCGACCTCTCTTTCAGCCCCCGCCTGGAACAGACCCCCAAAAATTATACCCATCATAATACAATGATAATGATCATTCAAGAGAGTTAATTACCTGAGTGACCACGTAGGAGCCTTTCATGCTGAAGAGCGGCCGGTGGAACATGTTGAACTGGAACCGGAGCTTGCCCATGTCGTCGGCGACGCGAAAGCAGTCGGCCATTGTCGTCACCCAGTTGACCACCCTCTCGTTAGCGTAAGTGATCAGTCCCTGGCCGAAGGGGTGCTTCCCGTCCAAGACAAAGTTCAGGATCCCCCTTAGGGAGTTCTCAGTCAGGAGAGTCTCCTCGTCAAGGTGGACGATCCAGTCGTGCTCGGCCAGCTCGTTTAGCCCCTCCTCGAGGCAGTACTGGAGGGCCCGAGCCTTGAAGAGGGCCCCCGTCTTGGTCCGGTACTCGCTCGGGACCACCAGCTCCCTCAGTCGCCGGTGGGACTTGAGCCCCAGGGGCTTGTCGGTCACCACCTCGATCTGGAAGTTCTCCAGACCGACGTCCAGGCATTTGTTCAGGTTCCAGGTGACGTTCCTCGAGACCAGGTGAGGATAATCCCCCCGAGTGACCACCCGGATGCTGATGAATGGCGCCAGAAGGGGCGAACCCTTCAGAGTTACCTTGTCCGGGAAGGCGTTGTACAACGTCAGTCCCAGGAAATTGAACAGCGACTGCGGGAGTGCCAAAAGCGTCAGCAGTCTCAGTAGGAACAGCAGAGGCGCCAACACTTCGTACCGCTCCCACGAGTCTATCCTCGGTCTTTCTTCGCTGTCCAGGTCGCTCAGCACTCCCGAGGTGTACTCGAAGGTTGTTATTATCAGAATCAACAGGCAGCAGTGCGACACGTGTTTCACTGTGCTTGTTATTGTCATTTCTGCTGCTACTACTTCTAGTTCCTGTTACAGACTGCGATGGATCCAACGTTAATTTGTCTCGTACTAACATCATTAATGCAACACCACGTTCTGATAAATTCTAATCAGTTGCATGCTCTCGTGCCTAATGCTATTTTTTTTCTCCTGGAATGACCTTGGATAAACCCTGAGGAAAAGATCTGATAAGTTAATTCTCATAAAAAAAAAAAAATCTATCAGAAAATGATCTGCATTTGTCCACGGAAAATCTTGTAAGAATAACTGATAAAATTATTTTCTGATAACGAGTTCGTCAAAATAATTTCGCTTCTAACATTCTGATAAAATTTATCAGAATATTGAAATAGTTATAATTAAAGTTAGGCAGATATGAGTATTCATAAGAATAATACCATATTTATCAGATCTAATAAGGATATCGCTGAAACAATTGTATCAGATTTTACTAATAAACTGGAATTAAAGTTTTTATGAGAAAATTGTTCACAATTTTCTCTGTTAAATTTTAAGAAAAATCGTTGACGGATTTTGAATACAAAATTTATTATTGTATGAGATTGATTCAGTAGATAATTAGTCCTGATTGTTTATCAGAATTTTCATAAGGTTTTTTAGGAGGAAATAAATATAAACTTTTAACAAACAATACGAGGCCTAAAAACAATCTTTACCGATATTTATAAGTAAAATAAAATATTGACAATTACTGTTAAATTAATAAGGATTATTGTTATACCCAATTCAAGAAAATAATGTATCATAAAATACAACTTTATGCAGCATCTTCAAGTATTGGCTGCAATTAAATAAATATTTATGAAACTAGACCAGCTTTATTAGAAATAATTGTTCTGATATAATTATCAATATAATAAGAAGTGAAAATTTTAAATAATTGAGGAGCTGATTTTCAAAAGGGTATCTTTTCATATTTTAAAATACCACTTTTCTGAACTTTTAAATACTAATTACTTTGAGAATTATGAACATTTATAAATGAAAATCGAATTGCAGCTTCATAACCGATTGCACTTTACAGCTAAATTAAAAAAAGTTCAAATACAAATATTTATAATTGAAGATAACTAGTTTTTTGTCTCGATTAATTCAAAATCAAAAGATACCCTTTTGAAAATAAGCTCCTCAATTATAATGTAATCAAATATAAATTAAATTAAAAAACGCATAAAATTTTTAGTCTTCTTTTTCAGAAAAAGAATTATTTTTATCTTCATTATCATTCATTTCTTTCTTTTCTTTTTCATCCACCTTCTCAGGAAACTTTTCATCTTTCTTTTTTAATTCTTCTTTCTCATCGCTTTCACTCAATTCTTCCTCCAACTCTTTTAAGTTAAATTTTCATATGAGTATTTTTATCATATCACTGATGTCGTTGTCGGATTCCTCGCTTTCGTCATCGCTACTAGAAGCTACAGTCTCTTCTTCAAGGTCAGAGTCTTCTGTAACTTCCAGCTTATTCTCCTCCTAAATTCAAAATACAATTTTACTACTTTTAAAACCCAATGCTTGTAAGGTAAAAGCCCCAATTATTGACACTATTAGAGATAAAGTTATGATTTAATTTTTTTTTAATAAATCAAATATCAATATCGTTGAATTTTGTTTGTGGTAATTTATCAAGTAATGTTTTTACTAATCAATTTCTTTTTTTAAAATGATAATCACTGATATTTACTAATTAATTTTAAGTAATTAAATAGATCATCCGGATATACACCAATTATTAACAGGTTAAAAAACTGATTGATCTAATTATTGACATACTTTTACCCCAATTATTGACACCTATACTAAGCATGCCTAAAATCATCTGCTTATTCTTATTAATCCCAACTTATTACTAAGTAATCAATTTGATTAAAGTTTATTAATAATAATTTCTATAAATGATTAATTACTTTTAAAAATATAAAAATTAATTTAAAATAATTTATTTAATCAGAAGAGTTCAATCTCTTATAGTTAATTATTTAGATTAAAGTCAAAAAAAGGCGTGATAGCGCTGTTGAATAGCTGTCAATATGAGATTCAACTTGAAAATTATCAACTAATTATTGAAATCCATTATTTAAATATTATGAAGCATACAATTAATTTTGATTATTCAATTTTATAAATTGTTCATATATTGTTAATTAAAAAAAAAAAAAAAAAAAAAAAGATCATATTATTATGGATAAGAAAATTAATTTAAACTCGGCATTTAAAAAAAATGCTTTTCTAATCTAAGTTGTTATGAAAATAAACGTTCGTAAGCTGGTTCGATGAACTGGTGCTTACTTTATTTTTTTTTTTTAATGTTTAATTTTTTTACTGCTTACATAAAAGTAAAAAGCTTTCATTTCTTGATTATATTTGCTATCTGGGATTCCTGACTCCTTTAGATAATATGAATAAATATCTGTAATTAAATTGTTCGACATTATTATTGTGATCAATTCAGATTTAACTAAATATGAACAATGTTAAAGTCATTATCCATGCATGCAACATTATTAGATTTTATTCCCGAAGATATGATACTATGTTTAGGGTAATTTATTCAACATTCCATAAAAATTTACTAAACTAATTTAACTAAAACATTAATTGATGTCAATTGCCAAAAAAAAAAGAATTCATTACTATAAGATAATTATTGAAATTTTTTTACTTTATACCTTATATTTTAGAGCTTGCAATCTTTTTGAATCTAGAGCCGATTTTTGTTTATTTTGTTTTATTTTATTCGACTTTGCTCCATGAACACTGCAATCCTGTAATTCTTCACTTGTGAACACAGCCATCATTATTTTTCTTACAAATTGAGAAGCACTTTTAGCTCTACTAATAGCCGTAAGGTAAGAGTTTCTGGCTATGTAAACACCTTGGCCTAAATGAATCTAAAATAATTTTTAATTAATGTTATAAGTTTTCTAACTTTGGAAAAATAGAAAATAATGATAAAAATACTTACACTATCATCGGACACCCGAGTGAAACCAACTTTAGGGAACCCAGTTTTTTTTTCCGAGTTCTACTGATTCGCGATTTGATGGTGTATCTATAAAATAAATTCATTAGTAACTACTTTAATTTACTTATTCTTTTTTTAAAGTATGTAGAATGCAAAACAAAAAAATGTTTTATTAGTTTCATGCAGTTCACTTATTTTCAATGACAATTTAAGATTTTTAACTTTTCGATAAATTAAACTCAAAAAGGGACTAAAAAAGCAATTGCTTAAGCATTACACGAATTTGTAAATAAACTATTGGGCTTGTCATGATGAAATAAAAGTTTTATATTGGCGTCGTACAAAAAAAAAATTATAAAATCCTAATTAAAATTAATAGATTTTGTTTAATAATTAATATAATTTTATAATTTTATAATTAAATTTACAAATAGAAAATATCTAATAATTTCAATTTCATTTCTTTAAGATCGGACGCTTACCTAGTGTCAATATCGGAAAATGTAATTCTACTGGAAATAATTAAAAATTATAAAATATATTAGTATACCTTTATCCTCATTACAAAAGTCTAATACTTGTTGCAACATTTGCTGTTGGACTTTCTGTTCACTTCTAATTTCATGAAGCTTATGTAGCATTTGATCCATTAATGTCAATAGTTTTTTATCTTTACTGTGACTATTTTTTTTCTTTTTTTTTTTATCTTTTCCAGTCTTCCCACAGCTGAAAATAATAATTATTAATTAAAAAAATATTTCGGCTGTATTTAATTGCAGTTTTTCAAATTTTTCTATATTAATAAAAAGAAAAAATATAGATCCAAGTGGATTCAAAAAAAAGAATCAAGTAGATAAATTAAGGAGAAAAAAATGTTAATATTGTTAGTACTATACTACAATGCATCAGAAAAAGAATACCAATCATTTTTCCATTCTGTAATGGAAACACTTTTTTATATCTATTTATATTTTATATTTCATGAATTTGTAAATTCATGGAACTTAGGTATCTTTTTTTTTGTTCAATATGCACGTTGATTTTCATATCATCTTTCGCGTTATCATCTATTACTTTTGATGTACTAGCTCTGTCCAAGGCTGTTGGTAATTGCAGTACATCCTTGTTTGAAGATGGAGTACCGTGATTTGAAAATTTCGACGACACATCTCTAGGTAAAAGGTAAAGGAGAAATCTCAATATCATCTCTCTGAGTTTGTGTTTCATTCAAATTTCCACGGTTTCCCTCAAGCTTATGACTCTGAGGTACAATCATAGTAATCTAAATAAAAAAATTACAATCAATGGCCACTGTGTTACAATAATGATCAGTGAGAAACTTTTCTTATGATACGTACTGGTTTCGGAAGTTTTTCACTTTTTCGAGTAATAATAGTCTTTTTCTGTAAAACAGAATAGAAATAAAAATTCTAACTATAAAATGTTTAATGATGTTACATGATAATACAATTTTCTGCTTTTTTGTATATGAATTATCATATTGGTACTTAAAAGTAATTAAAAATGACTGATATGGAAATAAGGAATTAAATTACAAATTTAAAACAGAATTTATTTTATCGATTTTGATTATGTATAAGAGATAATTTTTTTTATTAAACTTACTGTAGATAATCCGGATTCTGTTTTTATTTTCTTTAGTTTCTTTGGGTCCTTCAAAAAATGAAAAAAAAAAAAAAAAAAAAAAAAAAAAAAAAAAAAAAAGGGTATAAATTTATAGATTTGTTAATGCATTACATATTTACGAAATTACTTTCGCATAAAAGAAGTTGAATGAAATAAAATATCGTCAATTAATTTAGAGAGTATTTTTATAACGTACATTTTCTTTGTTATCAAGTCCGTTTGTGCCCTTACTTCTTTTGCGCTGTAAATAAATAATAAATAAAATAATGATCGAAAACATTTAATGCATTGAAAATATTTTTTTTCCAAAATTCAGTTTATCTAGGTAGTGTTTTCTTTTTGAACATCGATGCCATTGATAGACTCCCCATCAACTTCCATACTTGATGTACTACTGTTTTTTTCAGTACCAAAACGCTTCTATAATATCAATATCGCAATGAAACTAAATTAAAAGCTTGCTTCAGTTTTTTTTGTATACATCAATTTTAAAAAGCGCGGGTGATGAATAAAATTAACATAAATAACTTAAGTCAATTAAAATTTTTAATTAATTTTAATTGCTTTAAAGTATACTGATTTGTATTAAAAATAGACATGGAATTATAATTGTATTTCTTTCAAGTATTTACTAAATTATTATTTAATCAATATTTTGTTATGTTCATTTTTACAGATAATGAAAAAATTACAGTTATTCTTTAATTCGAATTCGCTAAATAATCCAATAAGTATTTTAATGAATTACGAGTTAATATAGTACTGAAATCAATATTGATCGATTTATGAAATTTTTAGAACGCATATAAATTGTAATAATAATATGCAGAAAAGAGTTTGATCATCACACATAACATGGAGTTTTATTATTAATCAACATAAGTTTACATTATAGAATATTATATATTTCTTTGTGTAGTAGAATTAATTATGAAAAATGTAAATAATGATTAGGTATAGCTGCTATCAATTGATCATATTTAGAATATATGGGGAAAAGCATATATATTGAGATTGTTCAATTTCAACAAATATAACTTTTTCTTTAAAATTAGAAATACATATTATTATAAAATCATTTTCGCAACTATTGGTAATACGATGAATATGATCTATTTCAACATTACCAATTGAATAAGGACTAATGTTCAAAGGACACCCATAAATATAACTTGCACTGTGAATTACAGTTTTTTTGTAAATACACTTCTTATAAGCATCATGAATCACAACAGTATTATCGTTAATAAGACTTTTGATTTTGTTTTCAATTCGTTCATGTATACGTGTTTTACCTGCTAGGACAAGTTCATCTGAAAGTTTAAGGAAATCTGCTTTCAGTTCATCATGAGTAAATAGTTCTCAACAAAAATGTCTACATTCAGAAGATTCTATAAAAAAATTAAATTTTGATACAAGCATTTTTTTTTTTTAAGAATTTTTTTGTAATTTGGTGACTAACACTTCGTGGACCAGTAACTTTTTTTTTTAAGGTTGAAGATACCGTTTTCGGAAGCGAAAGTTGATGTTCCAGTCAATGGCCCAGTTTGTAATACTGATTCACACAAATGCCAAAGGGAATGTAGATTAAAAGTCATAGCTGATTTCGAAAATTCAATTTGAAACAATCCAAAAAATTTAGCTAGATCATATTGAGTTCTTGTAATCTCTTCATCAGTTATTTTCTGTTATATTTTAACAAATATAAATAATGCTGTGAAGCGGGAAAGAATAGGAGTTACGGATAATTATTACGTGAAGCGTTCCAACATTCACGTAACAGGATAATTGGTAGGAAAGGATTGAGTATTTTCTCTTTTCAGTAAAGTGAAAATACTCCGAATGTAAAGTGCATACATTTATAAAAATTCGGGATCTGCAATACCATCCAAGCATAAAAGACTCCAATAAAGCAACCAAGACTCGAATTCTGATGCCTTCCACTTACACATATCACCAGTTGATCGGGGGGTAATCTATATATTTCATGCGGAGGTTTTATAGATATCAAACGTTTGTCAATAGCCTCCCTCTGTTTCTTAGTAAGCTGAAACTTTACTCCGGGTGTCTTTAATAACTGTAATACCTGTCGCGTAACTCCTAATAAACAACCGTGCATATAATCTATCGGAAATCCCCAGATGCTATTAAAGAGCGGTAATTTTTCAATGAAAATCATGGATCCTTTAACACCCATTACTGTTGGCACCTTACTTTTAGAATCTGACGTTTTTTTAATTTTTTCAAGTTCATTTACGTTAGATATATGATCTTTGTGAGTTTGTAAATTTGGTTCAATTTCACTTAGCGGATAGTGAACCGCGTGCCCAACATATAAACCAGGTTCATAACACCAGCTACATCCGTAATAACCACTGAATTTTACTCGATTTTGACAAGTTGCGCGAGCCGGTGTATCAACACAACAGCAAAGTAAAGTAAACTTCAAATTACAATTTTGTTTTGTTGCATGGTTAAATATATTTACACCGTTGTTCATTAAGTCAACAATTTGATCACACAATACTTGATTATAAAGATTCATGCGAACTCAGACTTAGATTCGGTGTCTGTTAAAAAAATTCCCCCAAGTATATGATGTGTTTAAAACGTTCTTTTAGTGGTAATTCATTTATAACCAATTGTTGTGGCCAAAAGCTTTGTTTGGAGCTTTTAAATATAGGAGCGCCATCAGTATTATAATTTAGAGTAAAAGTCTCAGGGAGCTGTTGTTTCAGTTCTTTGTATAAGTTAGAGTCTCGAATATCAGAAATATTTGATGATCGTTTTTCAGTTGCAATATAATTGAAAAAGTTGTTTTGAGATCTAAGCTCATGCAATAATTTGTAGCCTGAGAAGAAATGTTAAAGTCTTTTTTTGCATTTTTGACATTGAACTTTCTCTTTTTTAGAACAATTTTGAAAGTTTTTTTTTCTTAAGGATAACATTGCAATTTTCACAAAAAAAAATTTAGCGTTATTTTATCGTCCGTTACACCAAAAATTTTAGATCTTGAATAATAACTGCAATCCCAGGATTCAAAATCTGTTCCAGCTAAAACTTTAACTAATTTTCAGCAAATCATTTTGATTAGATTTTGTTAAATTTTTGGATATAGAAAACATTTGTATCATTAATAACACATCTGATATTTTAAGATTCGCAGCAGAGAACATAACACGATCGGTTTCTAATCGATAGGCTTCGAATAAATTTTCACTAGAATCTTTAGATTCGTCATTACAATTATCATCTGAATTAATATCGCTGCCACAACATGAACACATGCTGTAAATATCATCGCAGCTACTGTCAATAGATGCACTATCACTAAAGTTTTTATCATCTACTTCTGTATCATAAATATTATCGAAAACAGTTATGTTCTCATCATCGGTATTAAAATTGTCATCAACTTTGGTAGATTTAAAATCTGAATCGTTTGTATGACACTTTTGTCCAACTAGATCCCTTTCACCACTAATTTCAACGTCTAAGTTAAAAAAAAAAAAAAAAAAAAAAAAAATGTCAACAAATTTAAACATTCTGATAAATTAATCAAATGTATACGTATATTTAGTTACTGTATGTATATTTGTTCTCTCAAAGTGTTGAGTAATTTTCATTATTCAAAAAACTAAATCATCATATAATAAAGAACTATAAATAATAATCATAAAAATAACATCTTAAAACTTTACTTATTACGTCTATAATTGATATTGAAAAAATAATTGGTTTCAATTATTTAGAATAGTTGTACGTGTTTTAATTTCAAAATTAAGAAAGGTTGAACAACTTATAAAAATTAAAAATATCCTAGAAATTTAAATTAAAATTTCAGCATAATGACATGGTAAATTTTATATGAATTGAAATAAATGTGTCTTCTCTGTAGAGATTTACAATAGTCAATAAGTTTTTTGATCATGTATAATTTTCAATATTAATATTTAATTTCTTACATTCACCAAAATATAACCCTTCATTTCAATTCATTTCAATTTACCTACTGAACGTAAAAAAATTGACAAAATCTATATATTTTATAGCAAAAAGTTATTTAATTTATTGAAAATAAAATTAAAAAATTAATATACGTATACTTTGTTAATTTATTCAGCATAAGATTTATTTTCCATACCTAATTTTGGTCTCTTTGATGCATCGGCAAATATTTTATTCCAACGAGATATCGTTCGTTTGCTAACACTACTTTGATCACACGATGGATTTAACAAACGATTATTTAATTTCTTCATATTGATTTGGTTAAAAAGAATTTACTGAACCTAATTTATAATACAAAATATTATTAGATGACACAAAAAAATACTAGCTCAAAGGTGTGTTATCATTATCAACATATAATGCGAGCAAAGTGTTTTTTATAATCACGATTCACCGGAAAAAGATATATAACAGCCTGCATGCTTCATGCTAATTAAATACTTTAAAGCTTTTTCTATACACATAATGATTGAAAAATAATTATGACATATTATAAATAAAATGAGAGATTTTTAAATTTTCTTTTGTGAATATCAAAAGTAAGTTATAGGTTGTTTGTGGGACTGGATGAAAAAACAGTTGAAGAGAATTTTTTAACGCTAGTTTTGACTTCTGTCTAGTTTTAGGAAAAAGAGAAAAATTATCGAAAATTAACTTCTAAAATGTGTAATATTATTACTATGATTATTAGTGAAAAATTTAAGTTGTTTTCTCTGTCACTTTAAATTTTTGTAATAATTGGTCAATTTTTTAAAAGTAATTGTAATTTAAAAATTATCGGTAAATTGTTACAAAAAAGGAAATTAGACTGCTGAGCTTAAAGAGTTCAAAAGCATGCAAAATTGCACAAAAACTCCGTAATAAACATCATTTTGAGCCGCATATCATTTTTGTATTTGAGTCGCGGGAAAGTGTTGGAATGGTCCGAAGGATCAATTATTTTAGTAATTGTTTTTTTTTTTATCAAAAAAAATTTTAAAGAAATTTAATTATAGTGAAGAACGTAAATTTAACACATCACTATAAAGCCATACGATGCCAAGATGAAATATATTAGTCACATAAGCTTGTATATAATGATTATAAAAAGTTCAGAGAATTTTAAAAAGTATCTCTGTTAATATCTAAAAGAATCTTATAGATTCTTATAGTTGTCTGGGACAAAAAATTAACTGTTTTTTATCTTTAAAATCTTACGAGATTTTTCTGACCAAGTCATGTGAATTCAGTAATGTAGAAAAAAATTTAAGAAGGTTCACCCGTGTAGACTCAGCATGTACTATTGCAAAAGGAATGAATTATTATCAGGAAGAAAATTTTGAAAAATTTATTTCTAGCAAATTTCCGAATAAAATGCTCCGAATTAAATGTTTTTTTTTTTTTTTTTTTTTTTTTTTTTTATTGGTTTTGTTATTGTTATAAACAAAAAAGAAAAATTCGGAATTTTTGGATAGCAATAGTCCATTTCATGCATTAATATGTGCTGAGTGTACCCTATAAATTTCAAGTCAATCGGTCAACCTATTCTCGAAATAATACAATTAAGGAAAGTTTGCGTCCATTTTTTCTCTATAGACTTATAAGTCAGGTGTTATCAGAGCTCTATAACTTACGTTGCACTGGAGATTTTTGGCTAAAAATTTACATGCATACGCCTTAAAGATGTATTAATAAATGATAAAAAGTTTAAAGCTCTGTCTTTTCATTTGTCTTTAAAGAAATTTCTAAAAAAAAAGCTTAAATACTAAGTTGTCACATGAATGAACTCCCTTAAACTAATTTAGAAGGAAAATATATCATACATATTTTGGTTATTAAGAAAATATATATACGTTGAAAATATAAATGACTAATTTTAATTAAAATGAGCTAATTTTAAATATAACCGCATCCCTCGGTCAAAAATATACTATAGACGTAGTGACTTCTATCAAAACAATATACAATGTTAAGAAATTAAATGAAAGAAAGCATTAAAATTAATGTATTAAAATTAAAAAAATTACCTTATCAAGTGCTAACAGTTTCTTATTCAAGATGTTACGCGTATCGTCATTAACAGTAGAAGATGTCTTTTTCGAATTGCTCGAGTTTGCTTGGTCGTCTGTTTCAGATAATTCAGATAATATTGTTACCGGTGGAAATCGGATTCGGTCACCGTTTTCTATTAATTTAAATCATCAAACTCTTGTTTTGAATCTGTAATAAAATATATACAAGTAATAACCTCCTTTTAACTTAAAAATTGTTAAAAATTATGGAAAAAATGTTATAACTTCTGATAGAATCTTAATTATTTCACTGATAAAATCTGATAAATATTTAAAATTTCTTATATATTCTATATTCGTAGCTATCAATATTTTATCAGAATTTATAGTTTTGATCTAAATTCTTATAGATTCTGATTTAGAGGTGTTTTTTTTTTTTTTTTTTTTTTTTTTTTATCAGAACGTACAAGAATTTTAACAGAACGACAAATTTCTTTTAGGTCCTTTACAACTTTTATACTTAATTTATAAGATATTAACTTAATTATGAATTTATTATTATCCTCGATGATTTAAAAAATTTAACATTCTTTAGTGCATCGAAATAATGACATTCAAAATTAAACATCAAACAATAGTAAAAATTTCGAATTCAATAAATTAATTAAGGATAAAAGTCTATTGATGTAAGTATAATAAAAAATTAAACTTACCACGAACGGCACCGATCAGACACTGTTGGTAATCACCTTTTATTTTCACTGAAAATATTTTAGTGGATTTTTTTTTTTTTTTGTAACTTTTGATTTGCTGAATCCCAACTGTGGTACATTTACCACTACTAAGTAACTTTATATAGGCATACATGAGTGATATGTAATTCTCCTTTGTCTTTCAAATAATAAATGTACTAGATTCCAAAATATTAATATTAAACGATAAAATAACTGTCACAGTAAATTAACAAAACTTTGTAGATTTATAGCTTGTAAGAAAATTCGTAACGGAGCGACGTCGTTCTTCTTCAGAGCTCATTTAAACGAGTTTACGGAGCTCACCGTGTCGAACGTCGAGTCTATCGCTAAACATGTACGGGTCCGACAGCCACCAAAAAGCGGGAAGCCCTGTGATTGGCTACTGAGTACAGTCTCGAATCTCGTATGAGTCTTATTTGTTTTCTTTTTTTTTTCAACCAGACTCGCGTTAATATGACAGAGACACTTATAGGACTCGAAACGAGACTCGACTGTACACAAACTTTACTTATTCCTTTCCTCGTATTGTGTTTATGTATGTACGGTAGAGTAAAGCTTGGCCGTTTACTTACGTACACCAACTATTACACCTACACTAGTGCTCTATATATATATATATATATATATATATATATATATTTTAGCCACTAATAGGGGAGCCTGGGGTACGACGGCCCCCTTAAGCAAATTTTTTTATTTTGTGGCTTTTAACCATCAAATTCATTTATTTACCATTTATTTCGAACGAATCAGTCGACATTTTGCAAAAAATCGAAAAAAAAATTTTTCTCCCCTCCGTGCGGAAAGCGTCAATTTTCTGCTCGCTGCGCTAAACGAAAATAAAAATCAAATTAAATTTGAAAAAAAATTTGTAACCTCAAAAAACCGTTCTGCTTACGGTATATACACACTCGGTAGTCTGGCTTGAGAACGGAACTTGGCGCCAGATTCTACCGAATCTGTTGATTAATTGTATAAATTTTGTATGTTTCCACGGACGCCTGAGAAAGGAGTAATAAATTCCGAAACGTTGCGTAAAATAAAAATCTCTTATTAACTTATTTCATGATCCTTAATCCTTGGATTACAACACATTAATTTAATTCAATGTCAGGATCGGAATATCTCTTATTATGATGAAAAAAATGAAACAAAATCAAAACCAAAAAATTTGATAAAAAAAACCTTTAAAATATAAAAATGATTATTGCCATTGTCTTTATTGCTATGGACTTTCCTCAGAGTCATGGATTCAATGTAAAAATTTTAATAAATGATCTTATGATTCTTGCGTAGGTATTGGCGAAGATTATTCTGACGAATATGTCTGTGATCATTACGAATAATCGTATGTACATTAAATTATCTCGATGTGATTTCCTAATCTCATCGAACATTTATATTTCATGTTTTATTCAAAGTTTAATTTTTGTTAACGTCTTAAAAACTTATTACAAATTTCATTGTTAAGCTGTTATTATTGTTAATTAGTTTTAAATAGATAATAATTAAAAATATAATTAATTTCTTTTATTGCAATCGGAGGCTTTAAACCTACGTACAAGAAAAAATATAGAAATGTTATTGAGCAATGAATTGGTTACATTAGTTTACATTGATTGAAATCACAGGTTGAGTTTTCAAATAGAGCTTTTAAAATACGTAATATCTTGAACCAGACCTTTTTTATTATATTTTTATCAAGTCAAAATTAGAAATATGAATTGCGTAAAGTAAGACATCCTTGGAGGAATTCAAATAAATTTTTGAGATTAGGTTTCTGTCTGGTGCAGAGGATACTGTAATCAATAGTTAATAATATAATTATTACCGTTTTAATTTCAAAGAACTGTGTTTTCAATTTTTTATAAGCTATATAATTCAACTTTTCATTAAATTTTTCAGTTTAATTAAATTCATTCTGTTTCATTGATCTGAAAAGGTCTAAAATAATGAATTCTTCAAATTTGTCATTTTTTTTCAAATGATCCATTATGCCCCACGTATCACATATTAGCCTGAAATATCATAAAAACCTCATAGAGGTCATAACTTGACGGAAAATGGAAAAAAAAAATTTTACCTAATTTATGAGAGGGGCCGTTATGCCCGTTATGCCGGGGACCGTCGTGTACCACTCTCTCCTACATGATTCAATTTTTTGTAAAATTTTTCAGTTCAATTAAATTTTTTCTAATTCATTTTATCACAAATTTATCACAATTAAAAAAAAAAAAAAAAATTATTTTTCGTTACAATTTTTTTTTTCGAGTGGTCCATTATGCCCCACATATTACATATTGGCCCAAAATATCATAAAAACATTATAGAAGTCATAACTTGACGGAAATTGAAAAAAAAAAAAAATTTTTACCTAATTTTTGAGGGGGGCCGTCGTGCCCCGGGGGGCCTTCGTGCCCCAGGTTCCCCTATTTTTTCTTGTACGTAGGTTCATACAAAAATTATATCAATGTTCCAAAAATGTTGGCCACTCAGCACCAAAAATTCATTTACTACAAATGGAATGAATTGAACGAAAATGACAATATTTTAAAACTTGGAAAAGGAAAATTTGAGAAGCTCGGAAATTTATTTGACAATATTCCATATCATGAAGTAAACTCTGATGAAGCTTTAACTCTGAGCAGTGTAGTTTATGAAGTATCAGAGTTTGAATTTCACTTTACCTACAAGAAAAATTATTTTATTGCTTTATGTATCGATGACTTAACAGATTTACCAATTTACAGTGAAATCAAAAATATTTTCGTTAATGATAATAATTTAATGTTTTACTGTAAATTATGGGAGACTGTTTGTTATGATGCGAGCTTATGTGCAAATGAAATAATTGAAGAAATGGAAGAAAAATATCAAATTATTAGTTTTTTGGATTTGAAATTTCCACTACCTTATGAAAAACATCAATGTTATGATAAATGTACACTGTAAAAAATTTCGGTGTAAAAGTTGGACTCAGAGACTTTTACACCGTCGTGTAAGTGTGAAAAGCCGGTGTAAAATTTCCTTCGTGTGAAATTTTCACTCGTGTAAATTTAACACGATGTAATTTACTGTTTTACACTATTCCGTGTTATTATTTATAACTTTGCAAACTTAATATGTGACTGCCGTGACTTGTGAACTATAAATAAATAAAAGTTTGCTTTATTAAATAATGACTTTTGTTAAATTGCACTGTACTTTTTTAACTAATGACTTTTTTAAAGATATAAGCTCATCCCGATGATACAATCATCAAGAGCTTTCATTTGAGTACCCACACGCATTTTGATATATTTTTTATATATTCATATATATAATATATATAAATATATGAAAAAATGATATGGGTACTTAAATGAAGGGTCGTGATGAGTTTAAGATCGAGATGAGCTTATATCTTAAAAAATGTCAGTAGTTGACAAGATACAAGGTCATTTCTTAATTATGTATCTAGAAATAAAG